AAATATCTTGGTGTGAGTCTAATTAAGCAAGTAAGAGATCTGTATGACAGGAACTTCAAATCTCTGAAGAAAGAAATCAAAGAAGATCTCAGAAAATGGAAAGATTTCCCATGCTCATGGACCAGCAGAATTAATATAGTAAAAATAACCATCTTGCCAAAAGCAATCTACAGATTCAATGCAATCTCCATTAAAATACCAACTCAATTCTTCACAGAGTTAGAAAGAGAAATTCTCAAATTTATTTGGAATAACAAAAAACCCAGGATAGCGAAAACTATTCTCAACAATAAAAGAACTTCTGGAGGAATCACCATCCCTGACCTCAAGCTGTACTACAGAGTGATAGTGATAAAAACTGCATGGTATTGGTACAGAGACAGGCAGGAAGATCAGTGGAATAGAATTGAAGACCCAGAAATGAACCCACACTCCTATGGTCATTTGATCTTTGACAAAGGAGCTAAAACCATCAAGTGGAAAAAGGATAGCATTTTCAACAAATGGTGCTGATTCAACTGGAGGACAACATGTAGAAGAATGAAAATAGATCCATTCTTATTTCCTTGTACAAATCTGAAGTCCAAGTGGATAAAGGACCTCCACATAAAACCAGATACACTGAAACTAATAGAAGAGAAGGTGGGGAAGAGCCTCAAATACTTAGGCACAGAGGAAACGTTCCTGAACAGAAGACCAATGGCGTATGCCCTAAGATCAAGAATTGACAAATGGGACTTCATAAAATTGCAAAGTTTCTGTAAAGCAAAAGACACCATCAATAGGACAAAGCAGCAACCAACAGATTGGGAAAGATCTTTACCTGTCCTACATTTGATGGAAGGATAATATCCAAGGTATACAAAGAACTGAAGAAATTAGACTCTAGATAATCAAATAACCTGATTTAAAAAATGGGTTACAGAGCTAAACAAAGAATTCTCAACTGAGGAAACTCAAATGGCCAAGAAGCACCTAAAGAAGTATTCAACATCCTTAGTCATCAGGAAAATGCAAATCAAACCAACCCACAGATTCCATCACACACCAGTCAGAATGGCTAAGATCAAAAACTCAGGTGACAGCAGATGCTGGTGAAGATGTGGAGAAAGAGGAACACTCCTCCATTGTTGGTGGGATTGTAAGCTGGTACAACCAATATAGAAAGCAATCTGGCAGTTCCTCAGAAAATCAAACATAGTATTACCAGTGATACCATACCTGGGCATATACCCAGAAGATCCTCCAACATATAACAGGGATACATGCTCCACTAAGTTCATAGCAGCCTTATTTATAATAACCAGAAGCTGAAAAGAACCCAGATGTCCTTCAACAGAGGAATGGATACAGAAAATGTGGTACATTCACACAATGGAGTACTACTCAGCTATTAAAAACAATGAATTCATGAAATTCTTAGGCAAATGGATGAAACTGGAAAATATCATCCTGAGTGAGGTAACCCAATCACAAAAGAACACACATGGTATGTACTCATTGATAAGTGGATATTAGCCCAAAAGCTCACAATATCTAAGATACAATGCATAGATCATAGTAAGCTCAAGAAGGAAGACCAAAGTGTGAGTGCTTTGGTCCTTCTTAGAAGGAGTAACAAATACTCAACCAGAGCTCCCAGGGTCTAAACCTCCAGCCTGGGAACACAAAGGGAAGGACTCATGGCTCTGCCTGTATAGGTAGTTGAGGATGGCCTTGTCAGGCATCAGTGGAAGAGAAGGATCTTGATCCCTGAAAGTCTGGATGCCCTAGGGCTGGGGAATTCGAGACCAGGGAGACGGGGAATGGTTGGATGGGTGGGGGCACATCCTCATAGAAGTAGGAGAGGGGGATGGGACAAGGGGCTTTGGGGGGAATTGGAGAGGGGATAATATTTGAAAGGTAAATAAATAAAATATCCAATTAAAAAAAACAGATAATGGAACTGGCAATTGGAGTTGAGCATTGAGACTTTTTGTCAACAATTTATTATGGGGACTTCTTATAATCCTCAAGGACAAGGTATTGTGGAAGGGGCCCATGGAACTTTAAAACAATATCTTCATAAAATAAAAAAAGGGAGGCATATACCCGAACACCACAAATTAATTTAAATAATACTCTTTTATTTAAAATTAAAAAAAATTTTGGGTGCCAAGGAACTTTCTGCTGAGTGTCTATGCACCCTTCAACTAGTCATACTTATGCCTAGGTGAAAAGGAAGGATCCACTAACAGGCATATGGCATGATTCCGACCAGGTGTCTAATATGGGGAAGAGGGCATGTTTGTGTTTTTTTCCTGCAGGATGCTGTAGGAGCATGGTGGCTGCCAGAATGATTGGTGAGATATGCTGTTGCTGAGACAAAGAATGATGCTGACCTGTGAGCTGGCTGAATGCTCTGACAAGGGTGACTTGGAAGCTGTATTGGACATATGTTCCTGACCCACCTTTGCTTGCCTATATCCCAAATGGGACAAACTGCCTTGCCTCATGTTTTTAGACTTTGTTCAACAGAGAATCAAAAAGAAAAATTATAATGACTCTTGTATTTTTCTTAAAGGTGACCAGTTATTTGGACATTTATCATGGATAAATATTTGTATTATTTATCCATAATAAATCATGTACTGGTCTAGAAATCAATCCAATATTGGAAATAACTGTCTTCATTTGAAAGGTTAGATCTGGACATTTTCAGAGACATATTTGGAAGTTAGCTGCAGTTCTCTATGATGTTATGATAGCAAGAGATAAAATTGGGAAAGGATCTGGATTTCAAACAAGGGTTAGTGCATGTTTTAAGGCTCTTTTAATTGTGAAGCTAAAATTGGTTTTTGTCTCTTCTGCAGCATTTATTGTGAGTTGCACTGACTGTATACTTTCTAATTGTGTTAGTGTGTTTAAACCTGGCATGTCTGTTATGGGGGGGGTCTATCAACCAGCTTTTGTCTTACAGCCCTGAGTATTAGAAAACCTTGATTCTCTGAAAAAAGTTTGAAAGTGCTGGAAGAAGTGAGTTTGGCTTTAAGCAGAAGCTAGAGGGTAGCAGGCTTAATTATTGCTAGTATAACAATTTTAATTTCATTAATTGCTAGCACCACTGCTTCTGCAGATATAGCTTTGACACAAAGAGTTAAGACAGCTATTTTTGTTAACCATCTAGCAAAAAAGGTTACTGGAGTTAAGACAGCTATTTTTGTTAACCATCTAACAAAAAATGTTACTAATGTATTGAGTATGCAAAAGGATTTATATAGGTGTCTGGAACAACAGATTGATGATCTATATCCTATTCAAATTATCTGAAGGAGGTTCAGGGTTCAAGAGTTAGGAGCCATCTCAAGTGTCATGACAGATATCATTGAAGTAGTATTACTTCTAAAATTTACAATGATTGTCATTATAATTAGAAAAACATTTAAAGACACCTGTAGGGTATTTGGCATAATTCTATCCTTTCTCTGGGTATTTTAACTTTGCATAGTGAGATTATGAATTTAAAGAATGCTGCTCTGTTGAGCTTTGATGCTGCAGATAATGCTGATAAAATTATCCATGGCCTGAGGTCAGTATTTCCATTTTGTTCAAACCTCAGGAATGGCATATATAGCTTTATCATGCTATCCCTTCTTGTCCTTGGAATACTTTTATTCCTGCCCATTGTGTTAAAGCTAGTCTCTAACAACATCAACAGGTTGACAGCCAAAGTACATGACTTAAAATTGAAAATGGACTCCCAGACAGAGTTATTAATTTAACAGGCTGGCAAGCCAAGGACAGGTAAGATTCTGCACAGAGCCTTACCAACCTAAGACATAAGTGCATTGCTTTTGATAATGCATATTCCACAACTGGTAAGGAAGATATTCTTGTCAGAATGACCTAAGACAGGCTCAGTCTGGTTTATGCCATAAACCATAAAAAGGGGAAGATGTGGAGAGCTTTTGGGGCTGCCTGGCAGGAATCTTACATTGGCCAAGGACGAGGAAATGAACTGCAGGCAGGAATCTGACATTAGGCTGGAACAAAGAAATAATTTCAGGCAGAAATCTAAAGCCTAGGTTAGAACAAAGAGGAAATTTCCAACAAGAATCTAAAACTTAGGCTAGAACAAAGAAGTAATTACAGGCAGGAATCTAAAACTTAAGCTAGAACAAAGAAGTAGGCTTCAGGCAGGAAAATGACTTTGGGCTATGACAGGTAAGTAGGCTCAGATACTTTGGTCATCCTGATTCTCCTTTAGAAATAGTGATCACAGGACTCTGTTTATTGTTCTTTGACTATCTGGGTTTATTGTCTTGCTTGTTCCTTGACTATTTGAATCAATTGCATTGCTAGTTCCTCAACCTAGAACTGATCTTAACACTTGCATATAATTTAAACAGTATAAAAGCAAAAAAGAAGAAGGAGGGATGGGATAGGGGATTAATGGGGGGGATGAAGAAAGGGGATAATATCTGAAAGGTAAATAAATAAAATACTGAATTAAAATTTTAAAAAGAAGAAAGAAAGAAAGAAAGAAAGAAAGAAAGAAAGAAAGAGAGAAAGATAGAGAAAGAAAGAGACAGACCCAGGAGAACTGAGGACAAAAACCACAGGACTGATTCCTCCATGCTACAGCAACACTTGGGGGTTTTAATAAATCGCCAGCAATATCTTTAAGAAACAGATAGGGCAGGTTTGGTTTGTCTCATTATGCACTGTTGAACAGATCAGACAAGTAATCTGCCTGGGTAGCTCTCCAGTGTGGCCAGAACAATGAAATGCCTCCAGGCAGATAACCTCCAACTGCTGCCACCTGACACGTAGAAGGACCCAAGGTTACTCAGTTAGGGCAGTGACTGCAGCATTGTGTCAAAGGCCCTGTGTCAGTGGCACCTGCTTCAAAGTGGAAATTCTGCACAGAATGAAAACTACCTTAAAACAAAACTAAGCCAATACCTGTAAGCATCCAGACCCCTCTAGCTACTCTGGAGAGCTGCACTGCTTTCTCTCACCTGGGCAAGCCCCCAAGGTCAATCTCGCTGCAGATGTAGGGCCCTGGTCGCAGAATTACCCACAGCCCAATCTTCGCAGCCAGCCGGATAAAGGTCCTGGAGAGAGAAAGAATGGCTAGATATGGGAGGAACACAAAAGGCACTTTGGATATCAAACCTTCCCAGTTCCTCCCTTCTCCTTCCTCTCTCAATCAGGGAACATGGGGTAAGTGGGGCTTGGCCAAAGCTCAACATAGCAGGGGATTCCTGCACAACATAGAGGGGCAGAAGCCCAAGGAGCTGGGTATGCACTGCTTCCTTGCATCAGGACCATTCACCCACACCCAACTAGAAGTGGTTAGACAGACAAAGTACAGGAATTTTACACCCAGAAGCAGCCCAATTCCATCCCAGGTATATGAACCCCAACACAGAGTCTGGTGGGATCTTGACTCTCTGGACTGTAGTAAAAAGGGGGATAGGAACCTGTAGGCTGAGAGCCCTAGGTAATGTCACAGTTGGAGGATATCCAGGCCCTGAGTTCAAAGCCTTTCACAGCATCCTAATAACAAAGCTCCAGATCCAGTCCTCAGTTTCTTAAAACAGAGTCAAGACAGAACATTCTGATGGCTCTTCATTGACTCTCAGTAACTACCCATCCTAGACCAGGTACAGAAGCACCAAGACTACATACTCTAGGTCCAGGTTCCCAGAGAAGTCGAATTTGCCTCTTTCTGGCTCATGAAGGTTCCATGGCACATAGCTGTAAAAGACAAGATAATTGCAGGTAACTTTGTGCATCCACAAAAGCACTTTTACCTCTAACACCTATTATGGTGACTAAAGAGACAGTTTTCAATAGCTTCAGTCCTCAGAACCAGACATGAGGACCACAGAGAATTCAAGGCAAGCCCTAGGAAGAATATCACATCTCCTTAGGAAGACAGAGAACCAACTTGACTAAGGTGAAATATGAGATATTTGGAATAAAAGGTCAAGTTCTGTATCCCCAGGTTAGCACAGACTGCAGTATTCTTACGACCTTTAGGTTCCTCTAAGAAGTTTCTCACATTTCTCTCAATAGTGTTCTGATTTATAAAAAGTGTCCCTTTTATAACTGTCTTCAAAGCTAGTTCACAAATCATTCAAGGTACCCCACTTTCTTGATTTATAATCATGCCTTTTTTGCCTAATAATGGAGAATTTTAATCTGTTGACCCTTTTTATTTCATAGAGATAGCCCCAAATATATGTTGGCAATTTTGAAAACAAAGCCATGAAAAAATCAATATTATTCATAACTGGGCCTGGTTTTATTTATTTTTATTAATTATGTGCATATGTGTCATGGGTTGGGGTGGATATGTGCATGTGAGTTCAGGTTCTCACGGGGACCAAAGGTGCCTCTGGAGCTGGAGCTACAAGCAGGTTGTGGGGTTCAGATGAATTCTGGGAACCAAAGTCAGGTCTGTCTTAACTGCTGAGCCATGTTCACCAGCCTCTGAACCTATTTTTCTGATGACCTGCACAGTCTGCATGTTATCTGGAGCCTGCCAAGGAATAACCACCAGGCTAGATGCAGGGATGATAATCACAAGCATCCAATGATCTTTCCAGAAGATAAATGCTGAGTTGCTGACAGGCCGCTACCCTTGAAGAGGACTACACTCGTCCAGAATACAAATCCAAGAAGCAGAAGTTGCTTGTGAAAAACATTACTGGTCACTCTAGACAAAGTGGAGCACACCTGCAATCCCAACATTCAAGACTCTACTTGGGAAGGACAGAGCATCTGAAGCTGCCCTATGCTGCGTAGTTCAAGTTTCTCAAAAAAACAAAAAGAAAAGAAAAAAGAAAAGAAAAGAAAAGAAAAAAGAAAAAGAAAGAAAATTACTTGTAATATGTCTTTATACAACAACAAGAAAGTAGAGACACTAATAGTGCACAGCTACAATGGACAAGTCACTTGAGAAGACAGGGAGATGACAGTTCTCCACAAGTCATGGAGGCTCCAGGAGAAGTCAGACGTATAAACAGCTTGGCTATGGGAGTATGAGCGGTTAGCCTTCAGAACTGTGAAAAAGCACGTTTATTCAAGGCACCAAATGAAGAAATAAACCATCTCCTACCACCTCCTATATTTATGCTCAACCCCTCTCTCTCTCTCTCTCTCTCTCTCTCTCTCTCCCTCTCTCTCTCTCTCTCTCTCTCTCTCTCTCTCTCTCTCTCTCCACCACTACTTGGTTGAATCTCCTCTACCTCACCTGCAGGGAGTTCTGTAGAACTTGCAAACCTAAGCAAGCAACATAGGACGACTTCCTGTAATAGCTTTTTTCCTGCAAACACTTGTGCAAGAGCCCTATTTGGTAACCAGGTTGGATGGAGGGACTGGGAGACAGTACTTACGTGGTGAGGGTATTTAAGCCACAGGCTTTCAATTTGAGCAGACGGTCCCTCCAGTATTCCCTGGGCACACGGAAATAGTGTATGGATCCCCCCAGAATCTGAAAGGTGGAGTCTTCCAACATGAAGTTTGTGCCTTTTGTTCGAAGTCCCAGGCGCTGACGTTGGAGCCATAGAGGAACCAGAGTGCTCCAGTTCAACCTAGAAAAGCAAAAGCCCTCATGCAGCCTAGAGTTTCCACAGCCGTGAGTACCAGCACAGAGATACACTCTGTGTCCTTCTCTCCTTCACAAATCTGTTTTCTCTCTTTCACCTGCTCCCAGGGTGGCCAAAGAAAGCTCCCACCTTCCCATTTAGCCAAACCTTGAAAGGTGACTTTCTTCAGCACTACTTCCTGGACTGGGCCCCACTGCAGGGGGAGAGCAAGCGGACGCTGCAGCCAGGAACAAGACAGACACAACGTTCAACATGAAGACACGTGGGCTAAAAGGAGAGAGGATGAGGAAGGGTCATGCTAAATGAGGAAGTCTTCTCTAGTGTGACAGACCCAGGAGTAGCTGCAGCTCACAGGCTCCTACTATTGCCGATTGCTCTAAGCTATCAGACTAGACATTAAAGCAGGAGCTACTAAAATAGTACCTCAGAGCCCCCTCACGGACACAGCTGCCCACCTTGGGATTCAGATACCTAGAAAGAGGCAGCTAGGTTAAATGATATTCATTCATTGACCACATATGAAGTTCTTAATTATCTTCTGATAATCTAGTATCAATGAAAGGTTAACACAGCATGGCAGGGGGATGTCCAGGAAAGCTATGGGGCAGCTACAGTCCATGAAAAGGTTCCTATTGATGTCTCAGTGGTTGACTGATCAACTTGTCTCTCATAATTTATAAGACTACAAGTCTCTCTCCTTATCTACACTCTTGAAGGTCAAGACAAAAAGTCAACATGAATAGGTTTAGGGAAGTTAGAGACAGAAAACACGAGCACAAGAATATTTGGCATCAAAGCAATTTTTAGTTGCTGCTTTTTTCATTGTAGATCCTACACACACACACACACACACA